ACGGCTCGGGTTAATCCTAGTGCCAGGGATGAATCCCAGCACCCAGAGGAGGGGTGATAGAGAGATGGCAGATCTCTGAGTTCGGGGCCAACCTGGCCTACAAAGCAAGTTCCAGGACAGCCAGGCTACACAGAGAAACCCTAACTTGAAAGAAACATGGACTGCTCCTCCTAAATTCAGTTCTCAGTACCAATGTTGCTGTGCTGCTCACAACCTCTTGTTACTCCAGCCTCAAAGCACGCACAGACACACACTCAAACTCAATTTAAAATAAGTTTCTAGGCATGGTGGCACTTTAGACCTAGCGCTCAGGAGGAGTTAGAGTTAGGTACACAGTGAACTCCTGTGCACCCCCCCCCCAAAAAAAAGTGTTTAAAATAAGTTACAGAAGCCAGGTGTGGTGGCACACTCCTATAATCCCAGCATTCTGGGAGGCAGAGGCAGGCAGATCTTTGTGAGTTCTAGGCCAGCCTGCTCTACAAAAGTGAATACAGGACACCCAAGGCTACATACACAGAGAAACCCTGTCTTGAAAAACCAAAAAAAAAAAAAAAGTTAATTAATTTAATCAAGTCACCTCTTAGCTTCATGTGGTGACACAGTCAAGACAGCCAGGGGTAACAAACATTTTTTGATTTTGTTTTGTTTGAGATAGGGTCTCACTGCGTAGCTTCGGCTTTCCTAGAACTCACTCTGTAGATTAGGCTGGCCCTCAAACCCACAAACCCACCTGCCTCTGGATCTCTGATTTCCAGAGTGCTGGGGTCAAAAGTGTTTACCACCACACCCAGCTATAGTACCCATTCATTCATTATTTATTCATCTAACGAGAGGGGAGTTGTTTGTATGCTCTATCACAGGATTTAAAAGTGCTGCGGTAGAGCTACTGTCTCCCCCTGCCCGTGGCTTGTGCCTTGTGCAGCTGATGACCATCCCCAGGGACCAGAAGCTGACATCAGTGAGGAAGGCGAGTCAGGAGAGGGTAGGACTTGCTTTTGAAGATTGGAGTCAGCCCAGAGGAGACCTGGGGAAACAACATTCCAGACAGAGGGCGGGGCTAGATAACCCTCTTTGTTTGCCAGGCAGAAAGGAGGCCTGCCGAGGGGGAAAAGACTGGAGCCAAATTTCCCCAGCTTCTGCAGATAGGCAGAAAGACGTGTTTGTATTCTGGACTCTGGCTGCAACATGGGAAATAGATGTTCAGTAGAGTGAGGAAGGTATGAAAGAAACGTCTAGAAGGGACAGGCTGAGCCTGGAATCGGGATGGAAGCAAGCAAGTGAATTGGAGTAGAGGGAATCAGGAGATCTAGAAATATTGATTTATTATTGTTTTTAAAGATGGGGTCTCACTCTGTAGTCACTGAGGGTGAATTTGTGCTCGTGGCCATTTTTCTGTCTCAGCCTCCCAAGTGCTGGGATCTCTGCTATGTGCCATGACCCATGAGAGTTATTTAGAGGGAAAAGGTCTTGGTGTGGCTGTGGGGTCAGGGGTTCTAGCATCTGGAATCTTGGGGTTTTCTTCTTTTAGTAGGTTCCATGCTAAGGGCCGACTACATGGTAGACTCTAGGTAGTCTCGCTTCCTGTTATACGGTAATGAAATGAAGCGGGCGCTGTAGGTCTCCCCTGTCATTTTCCACGACCTTTGTTCTCAGAAGCCTGCCCTAGAAAAGCTGTGTCAGAGTTTTTAGTTTTCATTTTAGTGCCACCCTGTGGACATAGGCAGTACTACAGGTGACCGGTAGTCACCCCATCTTCTAATGGTCTCTCACTTCAGGTCTGGACTCACAGCCTGCTAGTATTTGTGAGGTGTGCGGGAGCACACACACACACACACACACACACACACCCTGGGGGAGAGAGAGACAGAGACATTGTGGGATAGACAGAGAGTGAGAAGAGAGAGGAGGGAGAGAGAAGAGTATCTGAGATTTTTATAAAGACAGGAATCAGGAAAAGTGGCCCTGGATGCTAACATTATCTGAAAGCTCAAATCGCCGCTGTTGGGAGGGAACACAGAGTGTCCTGGCACACTGTTGGCAGCCAGCAGCCCTTGGCCTCACTTGTTGGGCACCAGCCCCCTGGGTTTACTGGGTCGGTCTGGAGATGAGCTGCTCAGAATGGACATGCGTTGGCAACCTGTCCTAAGCTCAGCCATCACAGTGGAGGCCTGTGCCAGCACCTCCCAAAAGAGTTGTGGCACTGCTGTGGTGATGTCAGAAGACCTTCCCTTCCCGTCCTCGGGAGCCTGCCTGGCAGGGACATCCGGCTCCCTTAGGATCACGGGCGGCCCCGGCCCGGACAGAGGAAATTCCTGTGCGGTGCTTGTGGATGTTTTGACCTAGGCTGCCTTGGCCGTGGCCGGCTCTGCCATTACAGCGCGCAGTAGGTGCTGCTGTGACCCCTCCCTTTCCTCCAGGCTCAGCGGAGCTGAGGACTGCCCAGACCGTGGGACAGTGCTGGCAGCTCCAGAGGGCGTGCCAGGAGAGGCTGGGCATGAGCCACTAGCACCTGAGAGAACCGCCTACAGACTGGCACAGGTGGGCATCAAGGGCCTGTCCCCAGGCTGCCATCCTCACTTTTCAATTTCATTTTATACTGATGTTAACCATGTACACGATTCCAAAGCAAAAATCTTACAGAGCTGTCTGTCACCTGGAGTCCTCCGAGTCCCTCTTTCCTTACACAGAAGCCGTCGTGTTAGTGTTTGGCTTTACTCCATCAGATACAAACAAACTGGCCGCGGGCTTGGAGACCAGCGTGGCTGGTGCAGGCACACCAGGCCTTTGTGTTCTTTCCAGACATTGTATCGCTGCGCAGCCCAGGCTGGCCTTGAATCTGAGCTTGCCCTGCCTCGCGGTCCTCTGGGGCTGAATTACAAGGCTGGCCACCACACGCGGACTTCACTCTTCACTCGCTGTTTTAATAAAGGAGAAAAGGCGGTTTCCTTTTGCTGTTGAGACGGGCTCTCACCGTCCGGCCCCTGGCTGACCTGGAACTCCTTCTTGCCGGCCTCCAGCTCCTAGAAATCCCCGCATCTGCCTCCGAGGACTGCGAGGATAAGCGCGTGGAGGAGAGGAAGGAGGCAAGGACGAGTGGCTCACTGCGGCCTGGCCTGGCACGGCACGCGGGGGCCTGGGAGGAAGTGGCCAGGCCGGGGACAGGAGGCAGCAGCGGGGTCCGGAACGGCGAGCGGACGGGGACCCTTTCAGCAGGCCGTGGCGGGGAGAGCCGCAGGCCACGCCAGGGCTGGCCTCTGGGTGACGGGAGCACCCCTGCGCGGCCCCCGCGGGACGCCTAGAGTGGCCATGAGGGGACCCGTCCACGCCAGTGGCCGGCCGGCCTCGTGGCGCAACGGTAGCGCGTCTGACTCCAGATCAGAAGGTTGCGTGTTCAAATCACGTCGGGGTCAGCTCCTTTTTACGGCCCGCGTTGCCTTTCTTGGACCTTCTTTGTGCTCGTCCAAGCAGCAGCGAGCGATCGTCTCTTCGAGACCACGCTCGGGCCAGTGCCGTAGCGAGGGCCTCCTGTCGCGACCTCCGGAGCGCTCCTGCGGCCGCAGCGCCCGGGGCCCCGGCGGTGAGGGACGGCGCCGCCGCGGCTCCGGCCTCGCCCGCGGTCACCCACGGGGCCTCGCGCGGAGCGCAGCTCTCAGAGAAGCCAGAGCGAGCCCCGCTGCCGGGGACGAGGTGGCCGAGTGGTTAAGGCGATGGACTGCTAATCCATTGTGCTCTGCACGCGTGGGTTCGAATCCCATCCTCGTCGTGTGGCTTCCGGAGTCTACCTTCAGTTTTGCCCTCGGGGACAGACGCGGCCCCTGTGGCCCCGCCGCCGCGCAGATCTCGCGCGCTCTCTTTTCCAGCGCCGGCCAGGGCCGCCGCCTGCTTCCTCGTGTGCCCTCGAACTGACCTGGCCAAGGAGCGCAGCCGCCGCCGCCGCGTGTGGGCGCCGTGGCTTAGCTGGTTAAAGCGCCTGTCTAGTAAACAGGAGATCCTGGGTTCGAATCCCAGCGGTGCCTTTGAGACCCCGCGGTCTCCTTTTGCGGAAGCCAGAAGAGTTGCAGCCCGTCTCCGCGCCCGTCAGCTCAGCGCCCAGTCCCCGGGTCCGGCAGCTTTTTATGCGGGAGTGGGCGCTCGGAGTCCTGCCGCGGCTGGAACACCGTCTCTGCGCTCCGCCCAGCGATCAGATGGCCAGAGCGCGGGTTTCAGCTTGTCAGGATTGCGGCGTGAGCGCTAACGAGTAGGCCGCGAGTCTGCGTGTTCCGTTTTCCCATTCTACAACCTGGCCTGAAAGCGCCATTTCCCTGGCCAGGTGGAAGACGGCTCTGCTTCTACATAGCTTTAAAAGCGCGGCCTCCCCGCGCCTGGCCGGTTAGCTCAGTTGGTTAGAGCGTGGTGCTAATAACGCCAAGGTCGCGGGTTCGATCCCCGTACGGGCCACTAGGTACTTTTTAGTGAAAAGCAGTCCCACTGTGAGTGGTTTAGTTTGTCCTCGGCTGCTGATAGGCAAATTCTCAGTTTCGGCCCTGCTCTGGTAAGAGGTCTTACCGGTCCTAGCTATTTTTCCGAGATGTTTAACGTTCCACACAGCAGTCTTTCTGAGCCTGAACGCTGTCCAAGTGTGGGAGTGGCTTGCGGTGCGGGAAACGTTGCCTTTGTGCTACGTCAACCGTGAGAAGACAGCCTTTGCGACTGGGACACAGCTCTCTCCAATCTGCTCCTGACGTCAGGGATGGAGCCGCCAGGGTTACGCATCCTCTGTAACCCAGGGAGCGAGCTGCCCAGCCTCGGTGCCCGTCGGCAGCGCAGAGGCCGTCCCTCAAGAGCCTGGCTTGTGTTTCCGCGCTCAGTGGCTCTCTGGGCCCGTCGTGCGGTCTTCTGAAGATCTGACCACCACCTGCCCGTGTAGCCTAAGATTCCTCCCCCTCGCTCCCAGTTCCCGCCTTCATTCCCATTCCTTTGGCTTCTCAGCCCTTTCGACCCGCACAAAAACAGCCTCAGGCTCAGCAGCAGCAGCAGCACTTTAATTCCACAAAAACTCAGAAAGCCAAAAACTGCTTAGAACACTCCACAACAGGTGGGCTCCAAAACCAGCAACGATCCTCCCTGAACGCTGAGCGCAGTGAGCCGCCCCACCGTGCTCCCTCCCCAGGAACCGGGCTCCCGTGGGCTCCGCCCCGCGACACTCGAGGGGACCAGAGGGAAGAAGCAGGAGGTCAGGCAGACGTGCGCCCTCGCCTGCGCGCTGTGTGGACAAGGGCCCGGCACTTGAGGTAGCCGCGGCGGGCTGGGGCCTCTTCTGTTTCCTTCCTGATCACACGTGGGGGTCTTCCCCACCCTCCAGCGGAGACCTACGGGCCTGTATTCCCAAGCACGGCGTTCTAGCTCGGGAGAGGCGCCGGGAGGAACAGGGAAGCGGGAGATGGCCAACTGGACACAGGCAGAGCTACCGCCCTTCCCACCTCACAACTTCCCCCCTCGCACTCCTTAGGCTTGGAATGGGCACAGGCCACCCGCACGCTCGTGGAAGACCCTCTAACGTTCAGGCCTCTCCTAGGCAGGCAGGTTCCACCAGGGCTCCCTGAAGAGTCCTTAGGGGCCTCACTGGCCCCTGGCCTGGCCAGGTCAGGCACGGCCTCTCTTCTGGGCTCCTGGTCACTTGCACAGGGCCTCCAACACCTCCAGAGTGCGCCGGATATCTCGGACCTGGCGTGCCAAGCCCTGGACCGGCTGCAAAGCCCGCTCCAGCTCCTCGCAGCGCGCAAGCAGGGTGTACATGCCCTTGATGCTCATGTCCACGGCTTCGCCCAGGGAGTCCACCGCGTCGCGGTAGGTCTGGATGCAGCCCACGCTCAGGGCCGTCAGCTCCTGCACCGCCCCGCCCAGCCCGCGGAGCAGCCGGTCCACCCTGCCGCCCAGCTCGCGACTCAGCCTCTCCAGATCCCTCAGCACGTCGGGGTCGATGGGAGGGATGGTGGGGGTGGGCGCGGGCGTCGGGCAGGGCCGCGCGGAGGCAGGGGGCGGCGGCGGCGGGGCTCCGCTCAGCCGGATCTTGAGCTGTAGGTTGTTGGCGACGAAGTGGGTGAGGTCGCCGTGGCGGCTCACCGTGCCCTCGAGCTCCAGGGGGCTGGAGATGGTGGCGCGACGCCCCCCGCCCGCGCCGGCCTCGCCGGCGGCCGGGGACGCGCCTCCGCCGCACGCCCCACTCAGCCCGTCCAGGCTGCGGCTGTCCTGGAGGCGGCTGCAGAGGGAGCGGCCGGCCCGGGCCGCCTCCGCCTCCTCGTCGTCGCAGCCTTCCCCGTCTCGCGGCGGCGGCTCCTCATCCATCTCCAGGCCTCCGGGGCTCCCCCGACGGCAGGCCCTCGGGGCGGGGGGCGGGCGGTCCTGGCCGGGCTCGCGTTCCCGGTGCCAGGGGGACGGAAGCGGGGCGCGCTCGGAAGCGGGCGGCCCCTGGCGGCCCGCGGCCCCGGACGGCGTCGCCCCGGAGCCGGGCTCGTCTCCGCAGGCGTCCAGCCCCGGCCGGGGGACGGGGCCGCCGCTCGACGTCTTCGGGGACGCCCGGGGGTGACGACGGCTCGCGGCCCCAACGCTGTCCGACTCCTCCTCCCCGGACCCCCTCCGGCCTGACGGCGGCCTCGCGGGCGCTCGGGACGGCCTGCCGCCGACGACCGCGGCCTGCCGGTCCGCTCCGGCAGGGAGGGCCGGCTCCGGCCCGGGCCGCCCCCCGGCGGCCTCCATCGCGCGGGTGGGGGCCGGAACCGCGAGTCGCCCGCCGGGCTCCGCGGGCAGCGGCGGCGCCTTTAAGGGGCGTTGGCGGCGGCGCGCCGATTGGCTGCCGGCTGCCGGCGGTGCGGGCAGGAAGGGCTCCGTGATTGGTCGGCTCCCCCGGAAGTCGTGGGAGAAGCGCTGTTGCGGCGCTGCGGGGCCCGCGTGAGGGCCAGTCGGGGGGCGGCTCGGGGGCGGCAGCGCGCTCGCCGCCCCGCCCCCTCGGGAGGCTGAGGGGCGGCTCTTAAAGGACCCGAACCCGGAAACGCCCGGGGCCCGCGGGGGCGGCGCTGGGCTCTGCGTCCGCAGCGCGGTAGCCCTGGTTCTGCGCACCACGGGGGATCGTGATTGGGATTTCGCGAGGTTCTAGGGATGGGGGTGCTTCCCTCTGCGTGGACGCCAGAACGTGGCCCGTAACGAGGAAGAGAGGCGGAACCGAGACCGATGAAGACAGCTCAGCGGAACGCGCCTGCCCGGTTCCTCCTGGAGACACCGACAGGCCCGGGGCCACTCCCTGGAGTGTGACTTCTTTATGTCACCAGAGAAAATATTCCGCAGGTGAAGAGGTCAGAACTGTCGCTAAGCACTCTGGGAGAAATGAAGGGCTGTGACAGTGAGTAGTTGGAGGTAGAGGAGGCCTCGGTCGGGGAGGGTCTCTGATGGGGAGCCTCGACCGTCAGGAGCGTCACAGCCATCTTGCCAGCTGAGGGAAAAGCCGCTTTCCTAACTCCAGAGAGAAGACACCGGGGCTAAAAAAGATGGGAAGAGGGAGAGGACCGGGCCTCTAGGGGCCACGTCTCGCAGGGCACTGTAGTTTCTGGAGCGAGTGCAGGTTCTTTCCAAACTCAGTGGTGCAGAAAGTTGGTAGAAAAGTTCTCAACTGCAAAATACAATCAAAGCTCTGGGCCCTTTGTATTTTTTTTTTTCGTTGTTTTGTTTGTTTGGTTTGGTTTGGTTTGTTTGTTTTTAGAGACAAGGTTTCTCTGTGTAGCCCTGGCTGTCCTGGACTTGCTTTGTAGACCAGGCTGGCCTCAAACTCAAGAGATCCATCTGCCTCTTCCTCCGAAGTGCTGGGGTTGAAGGCGTATACCACCACGCACTTCTGTTTTTGAAACGGAATCCTGTGTGGAAAGTCTGCAATTGCTGTGGATAACCATTGCAGAATCTTTCCTGTTTTGCCAGCACCAACCTGACCTCTGCAGCCCCTTCTACCCCGTCTCTTCTGTTCGCGTGTTCTTGCTCTTTTCTTTGGACCTTTTCCTTCCAAAGAAGCCGTCTTCTGCAAGTCTTGACTTCCTCCTCTTCTAAACATAATCCAAGAAATCGTAAACATGCCAAAAATGTCTTGCCACCACCAAAATGGGTTTTAAATTGAAACAAGATGACATTTAGTGTGAGAGTCGGTATACATTTGGCCTTTATCTTTCTTTGCCTAATATATTTTAATTGTTTTCCCTCCACAGCTCCTGAAGATCCTTCCCATTTCCCTACCCACCCAGTTTTATGCTCTTTCTCACTAATTCAAAATAAACCCAAACAAACAAACAACAACAACAA